TCAACAGCAGCAAAATAATATTCGTGCTGCCAAGCAGCTTGATATACAGAATAGTTGGGTACATGAAACAGGATGTTTGTGTGAACCAGAAGTGCTTAACAGCTTAGAAGAAACATATAGTCCGTTCTTTAGAAACAACTTGGAGAAAATGAGTATGGAGGATGAAAACTTTCAGAAGAGAAAGTTGCCCTGTGGTAAGTTCAGTTGTTAAAGTTAAAAAAACAAGAGATCCAAGATGGCTGATCACTAGCAGCTCGGGATCGTAGCTCCCAGTGAAAGTGCAGCAAACGAGAGGACGCCACACTTTCAGATGAATTCTTGTTGCTCACACACCAGGAGATTCCCAGCAGAGGAGCCCCACGGGTCGCCAGCACGACTCTTGTGGCCGGCGAGGTGGTTTTGCTGGTGCCTCAGAGCGGCGGTTCTTGGTGCAGAGTCAGAAAAGCACCAACAATCTTAACACTGCTGTTTTAGCCGGCGCAGTGGGTTGCTCAGATTCTGGCGCTGCAAATCAATAAGTCAGACGTCCACTCAGAAACCCAATTACAAAGACAGTAATTATAAAGACCACAGGTGGATAAATCTATAACAAAGGGAAGAAACCAGCCTAAAAAGGCTGAGAATACCCAAAATCAGAACACCTCTCCCTTTACAGGGGATCACAGTTCCTCATCAGCAACTGAGCAAGGCCTGATGGAGAACGAGTGTGTTCCATTAACAGAAGCAGGCTTTAAAAGGAGGATGATAAGAAATTTCTGTGAGTTAAAAGAACTTGTTCTTAGGGACATGGATGAACCTGGAAACCATCATTCTCAGCAAACTGACACAAGAGCAGAAAATCAAACACCGCATGTTCTCACTCATAGACGGGTGTTGAACAATGAGAACCCATGGACACAGGGAGGGGAGCACCACACACTGGGGTCTGTTGGGGGGAAATAGGGGAGGGACAGCGGGGGGTGGGGAGTTGGGGAGAGATAGCATGGGGAGAAATGCCAGATACAGGTGATGGGGAAGAAGGCAGCAAATCACACTGCCACGAGCGTATCTATGCAATGATCTTGCATGTTCTTCACATGTACCCCAAAACCTAAAATGCAATAAAAAAAAAAGAACTTGTTCTAACCCAATGCAAAGAAACTAAGAACTTTGAAAAAAAGTTTGACGAAATGTTAACAAGAATACACAATTTAGAGAGGAATATAAGTGAATTGATGGAGCTGAAAAACACAACACAAGAACTTCACGAAGTATGCACAAGTTTTAACAGCCGAATTGATCAAGCAGAAGAAAGGATATCAGAGGTCGAAGACCAACTCAGTGAAATAAAATGAGAAGACAAGATTAGAGAAAAAAGGATAAAAAGGAACGAGCAAAGTCTCCAGGAAATATGGTACTATGCCAAAAGACCTAATCTATGTTTGATAGGTGTACCTGAATGTGACGAAGAGAATGAATCCAAGCTGGAAAATATGCTTCAGGATATTATTCAGGAAAATTTTCCCAACCTAGCAAGGCAGGACAATATTCAACTCCAGGTAATACAGAGAACACCACAAAGATATTCCTCAAGAAGACCAACCTCAAGGCATATAATCGTCAGATTCACCAGGGTTGAAATGAAGGAGAAAGTTGTACTAACTTCAGTATGACTAAACAGCAATTCAGCAGAATAAAGAAAAAGTACAGAAGGTTAAGTAGTGTTTCAATAAAACAGATATTATAAAGAGCCTTTAAAAGAAGGACACATCTGTTATTCAAATTATAACACTCGTGCATGTTACTGTAAGTAATTTAAACAATAGCTAAATACATTTGTAAATTATTAAACCTATTCAACAGTCTGAAAACCGTCATACTATCTCTCTCTATATATAATATATATACACACACAGATATAAAAAATATAGTAATAAAGATTAATTGTAAAAATGTTAGATGATCATTTAAAAAAAACCTGGGGAAAAAAGGGGCCTCTTTCTACACTCTGACCCATTTTTCTGAAACTCTGAGTGGCAGCTGCCATTTTGACATGTTTTTCATTTTCTTTTGGCAACAAAACCTCAATTTTGCTGGCCTTAATATTTTTATTTCTTGGCAGGTGCCCATCACAACCTCCCCACCAAATTTCCTGCAACCATCTCTAACTGCTTTAAGCTTGTTGAGACATTTCTGCTTAGTCCAGCTATCTTTGAAATTCCATTTTGATAATCCTGTCTCATTAAAAAGTACTACAGTGGCCTCATGTTTATTTATTAAACATGGCTCATAAAGCCATCATTCAAATCTCTGAATGCACTTACTGTGTCTTATAAAAAACATATATCCATATGCTTTTTTATATTCTGATAATATCTCCATGTGCTCAGCCATCTATATTTAATGAAAACTATATTTTTTTTCCCCTGGCAAATTTCAAACATCTATGGAGTTATCTAATGTGCAGGCACGGACTTCCTGTGTGACCTTGGACAATCTTGTTATATCTCCATAGATTATTTAAATCTATGGAATGGAACACTGTAATGTAGATCACTTTTCAAAAATATTATAGTAATTAGAAACTGAAGTGATTCAGATTAGTAGCCCAAGTTTCTACCATTTACAGATGTCAATCATGTATAGGATGTACATTAACCCTTTTAAGCCATTAGGTAATCACTCAACAGGTACTTCAGGCTCTCTCTGAAGCAAGACATATCCTTCCTTATGTCTCTCCTGCTCTTGTCTTCTCCAGCTTCCTGCAGCTGTGTGTGTTAAGTCTACACTTGAGGCAGGGAAGCCCTTAGACAGCTGCTCTCCCAATAGGTGGGTTTGCTTTGGGTCACACTTCCTGTTGGGCTGCTCTGAGAGGTACTTCTGAGCTAACCACAGAGTTCCTGCATTTTTTTCTGAGTCATTCTTGCTGAATTGACCTTCTCTGCATTCACAGTCACTAATAATTAAACGTTTTTTTTTCTTGAATTGCACTTTATGGATCAGCCAGGATGAAAGCATCCTTCTTCCTTAATTCCCCATCCTCTGCAATCATTTTGTTCTAACGAGGGAATGCTAGCACCCAAATTTTCAGTCTTAAAACCCTTTTTCTTTCCAATGTCCTCTGTATGCTTCGGTTGTGGGCATCTACTTTGCCCATATTGCAAGGTCTTGCTTAGGTAACCTCTGTCATTCTCGCTTGAGCCTAGGACTTCTACTTTTTATTACCAGTTGCACTCTTTCAGAACCAAAGCTCAACTCCTCAAGGCCATAACTAGGCCCTCTCCTCTGCAACTGATGTCTCAGGTGCCCAAACCCTTCTAACTGTCTGGGATTGAACTTTTCGGCAGTCTTCATCCCTACATTTCATCGAATTCTAGGATGAAGCCTTCTGAGTCTTTCCTGTCCTCTGATCCCTACGTGAGCCTGAGACTGCTGTTCCCTGAAGTCTTGGTCTGTAAGCATCTAGGCCGGCTTCATAAAACCTGTCACTCTGCTAATGGTTAGCTGCTGAACAAAGAGTTCTCTGGCCAAATAAGTTTTTTTTTTTTTTTTTTTTGAGACGGAGTTTCGCTCTTGTTACCCAGGCTGGAGTGCAATGGCGCGATCTCGGCTCACTGCAACCTCCGCATCCTGGGCTCAGGCAATTCTCCTGTCTCAGCCTCCTGAGTAGCTGGGATTACAGGCACGCGCCACCATGCCCAGCTAATTTTTTTGTATTTTTAGTAGAGACGGGGTTTCACCATGTTGACCAGGATGGTCTTGATCTCTGGACCTGTGATCCACCCGCCTCGGCCTCCCAAAGTGCTGGGATTACAAGGGTTTTTAAAACTCTGATAAAAATATCATTTGGGTTTCCTTTTCACAGAACTTACCTAGGCCTTTAATAGGTATCTATAGTGGTAAAAATAAAACTATATAGTTTTTCCAAATATATTTGTTGAAGAAACATTCATCTTCTGAGTTTCTTAAAGGATGAGTGTTCTATGGAACATACTTTAAAATGCTTTTTAAAGATTAGACCAGAGGATCTCCAAGGTCTCTTTCAGTTTCACACCCCCTGAGTCAATGACTCACCAAAAAATATTTTGGGGGGAAGTGATCGAAATGGAAAAATCTGTCAGTGTTTAGCTAGCTTTGTCCAAAGGATAAGCTGCACTGTACTTTGCTTACTAGAGAGTTATTTTCTATAATGGAGGAAAAGGAAAGCAGAAGACACTCATTGTTTTGTTTGTTCAATCACTGAACATATTTATTGAGACCTGTGATGTGCTTGGTGTGCATAATTCTAGTCATGCAATTTTAATCATAAGATAGATTCTATTCCATATATGAGTTTCCAAAAGCATTGTCCAGAACATCTATATCAAAATAATATATTTTATCACATTCAATATAGGTAATGTGAAATGCACTCAGAAAATCTGCTTGTTAAAATGCAGCTTCTATTGCTTCACCCCAAGTAGTCTGATTCAGACGGGCCCAGGATTTTAAGCTAGCATCACATAGCATGCTTATGTCCACCAACATGTAAGAACTGCTGCTGTTGAGACTCTGGGATGGCAGTGAAGAACTGGAGCTTGTCAGACGGCTTTAGATTGGAAAGAGAAACTCATGCTGACAAGGAGAGGATTGTCAGGAAACAAAGCAGGCATCTAGTCTCCCAGTAAGATCACGTATAGAAGGCAACCGATACACCCTAAGGGCTCCAAATATACTAATTCCCTGTACTCCATCACGGCTCAAGAAAATACAATAGCTGAGCACACCCAGGGCTTGCTTACTACTTACTCATCATTCTAATGTGTCTTACTTTGTTTCCACGTGAATTCACTTACGAGGAGGTAACTGGAATCCCTCCAGAGATAGGAAGATCCTTCCTAGTTTAATCCATACCTAGATTGATTTATTTTTCAATTAGAATCAGGTATTGACAAAAATTTAAATGTCAGATGACGAAGGCGTGTGGGATTTTTCTTCTCACGTTACACAATTAAAGTCTATTGTTTTCAGATCAAAACTTGAGACACCTCCATCACCACATTTCCTGTTTGTAACTGAAACAGTACACACAAAAGATTTTAAGAAACAGAAGAGAAAAAAATCTGAAGGTGTTATTGTCATGCTGCTCTTAACAGGGCAACATTAGCTAGGAAAATAAGTTTGAGAGGATTTTTAATCTATACATTTGTCTTATGGCTAGTTAAGGATTTCTCTGAAAAAAGAAGCATGTCAGGTAAGTGGCATTTAACATTTTTTGTCCCATTTGTATGCCTAAAAATTCACTTAATAATTTCTAAGTCTTAATGAGAGGACCCTTAGTATTTAGAAAGCAGTTATTTTTTAAATGTTTTTAAATGTTATTTTTAATTACACTTTTAGTGTAATTAAAATATATTTTGAAATATGTTAATGAGTATAAGTTGATGTTTTTCTTCTGAAAGAAAAATGTGGAGAGAGTTTTAGAGTGTGAATCTAATTACAGCTCTTTAGTAAGTGTTCATTGATAATTATGCCATGTGAAGTACTTGTTATTTTTAAAGAAGCTTCTGTTGTCTTTCTCTCTAATTTAGTTTAGCTGTTAAACAGGATAGGTGTAATTCGAATTCCTCAGAGATTAGGCACTACAGTATTTTTCAGAAAGCAATCAATTGTCAACATTTGGAGAGATGACAATTTTGAAAAGGCAAGTGAAAATTCAGTTGCTGTGTGATTAATCGTGAAGGTTGTATCCATTTGACTCGCTGTTGTGAATCTATGGTGATGGTTCATTCCTCCCGTATTCTTTTATGTACTTTTAATTCTTTAAATAAACGTCTTTTTGTTGCAAGGGAAAACCTGCATATTCTGTAATGTGGGAGGACTGTGAAATATACATATTAAAAATTCATGCATATCTTCTACCACCTTAAAAACACAAAATATGTATTTCCTTTCAATTTTTATTTATATACATTCTACGTCGTTTGCTTTTCATAACTGCAATAATAATGTACATAATATATGCAGCTTTTTTCACTAACATTAACATGTCCCTTTTTAATCTAACTTCTGCTTGCCTAATGATTTTAAATGAATACACAAAAATGACATCCATTCAGTTATAGTTGAGTCATTTGCTTATTGCTGAACATTTACATTGTATACAGTTTTTAAAAATATTTTTATATGACAGAAAGATGAACAATGCTATAGCTTTTTCCGTATTAAAGGTTATTTTCTCAGAAAAACTTTCTAGAATTGAAATTACTAAGAGACTATGAGTATTTTAAGTCTCATTATTGCCAAATTGCTTTTCCAAGACTGATGCCAATTTCTTCTCATTCTAGCAGGGCTTCTCCTTCACAGGCTGATCTCATTTTAAAAATCTTCACTAATATCATAAGCCCAACATGCTAACTCATTGTTTAATATGACTTACTTTGATTATAACGAGGTTAAACATTTTTGCATGGATTTTTGAACTGTTTGTAATTCTATCATTTGTGAAATGTCTGATTACATCTTTTGCTTAATTATTATGCTTATAGTACGTTTAATACCAATTTGTATATGTCATTTATGGAGTAAAGATTTTATATATTATGATTTCTGTGAATTTGCTTTCATTGTTCTGTTTGATGGATCTTAAAATCAGTTGATTCAATAAATCACAAAGACACCATAAGCCGACATTGAATTTTCATACCTCTTATTTTTCCCAGTTCACAGTTTAGCAAAGAACAAAAACGGTTGTCCCATTTTTGCTAGTGCTTTGCGAGAAATGAACATAGCATTACTAAGCATAATTGCCATGAGCTGATGTTGATGGGGAACCCAGAAAGCATAGGAAGACCAAAGACAGTGAATATGACATTCAACTATTTTCAGGACTAATTAATTCTAAATTTAGAAGACATACAGTAACATTTCCTCCATAGCATTTTGTAGTTCAGATTTCTCCTTTGGGTTTAATACAAGAGCTCCTCGTTTATCAGTTGAGCACTTTTACAGTTTCACGGAAGACATGCAAAGACAAAGTATTTAAAAGCCTCACAGATATTAAAAGTCAAAACAAAACAAAATTTCACATGAAAGAGAATCAGATGATCGTTTCATATGTTTATAATATAAAAAACTATATTTAAAAAATATAATTATAGGCCAGGCACAGGGGCTCATGCCTGTAATTCCAGCACTTTGGGGAGGATAAGACAGTTAGATCACAAGGTCAAGAGATCAAAACCCATCCTGGCCAACACGGTGAAACCCCGTCTCTACTAAAATACAAAAAATTAGCCAGGCATGGTGGCACGTGCCTGTAGTCCCAGCTACTTGGGAGGCTGAGGCATGGGAATAGCTTGAACCTGGGAGGCAGAGGTTGCAGTCAGCCGAGATGACACCACTATACTCCAGCCTGGTGACAGAGTGAGACTCCATCTCAAAAAAAAAAATATATATATATATATATATATATATATATATATATTTATTTATTTATATGCGTGTGTGTGTATATATAAAATTATATTTAAAATGTTTTATATTTAGATAAAATAAAAAAGATAAATTTGAACACACAAAAGAAAAATTATTTCTAGTTAAGTAAAACTATGTAGGAAAATAAAAGCCCAAGTATTTTCTTTTTTCCTACGTATATGCCTGTAGTCACTGCATCATCAATAATGTTCTATTATTATGATACCAGAACATATTCCTGCTATGCTGCTTCTTCATTTACATCAAATCAACAGTCGTGGAATCCAATGTTGAAAACAAGGCCTTTGGGCTATCATTAGTTTAAATAATGATTCACAATTTAGTTTACTTGTTATTTTGTTTTTTTAAAAAGGGGTCTTGTCTTTACCCAGTTTATCTTCTCTTGAGCCTCATCACCTTTTGAGAACAATGAAATGTTTTCTTTTAGTGACTAGGTGGGACTAACCTCTAAATTATCTTTTAAACTCAGATGGGTCATAGACAATGTTTCTCCATTTAATTTAGGTAATATTTGGCAATGAGTTCGACAGTGTTCTTAAGAAAAATCAATCCAGGAAAGATTGTCAATTAAAGATCACAGTTCCAAAAAATAAATGTTCACAAGTTGCTAGTGGATAAAAGAAATCATTATTGGGCACCTTTCCAGACATTTTTGATTACACTCAATCTTCTCAGCATTCCCGAATTAAAGGGAAGAGATAATAAAATTAATCCACCTTCTTGAACCATTAAGAGAAACATAATAGTCAAAGTATTTTATTGGATGAAAGTTTCTACACAACCATGCCATCTTTGAAGCATCTTATTAAGGTGCTTCTCAAATAAGAAACAATAAAAGCATATATAAATGGAGTCACTAAATACAGAGAAAGAGGTTCATCTGCAGCAGCACTTTAATCTCAGTAGGATTTCTGAGGTTTACCAATCTCAGGTAAAGTCTAATTATAAAAACAATGAAGAGTCTAGCAATGGAAGAGTCATAATTTACTCTCTTCTGCCCTCCACCTCACTCCCATATTTATACTTTCTTCAATTAAATTAAGTAAAGTATTGGTTGAGGGAAATAATGTGCTAGGAAGACGTGTAACACAGATGAACATATGAACTCCAATTTTACAATTGGCTTAGTGAGGTTCAGTGATTCTCACACAACCAGTCACACAACCACTGATTACTCTCATTCCCTTTTCCACAGTTTGAAAATAGATATCTCAAAGCCACTATTTGCTATTTTCTCTTTTCCTGTCAGAACCCACTCCCCAACACACACCATTTACTTCTCAAATAACCCCCTATTCATGACAGACACTTAAGGTCAGTGGATTTCAGATGTGCATTTAAAATGGCATGGTATTTACTTGAAAGTCTGTAACTGATTTGAGAGCCCCCTCTTATGTTAATATCCATGATTGGAATGTCTTTTATTGTGGGAGATGATGGGGCTGGATAGTAGTGGTTGGGATTGTGGGCGTAATGATGTGTCATATTCAAAAAATCAAGAATGTGTCTTATTTAGCCCCAACCACCACCATAATAAGAAAAACTCATTTAATGAGTACACCCATGGGGCTCATAATATTGCCATTGAGATTTCTGGGTGTCTAAAATAAATATACACATTCATGGAATGCAAAAAGATGTTCATTGCTTCGAGTTTACAAGCCAAGGAAAGCTATTAAGAGAAGCTATATGCTGTAATATACTATCAACTCATACACTTGTCTCAGTTAAAGACAGCCTGAAGTAGAAACAATTGAGGCATTATATTCATTGCTTTTTCTGTTGTTAATTAAGTAAAGGCTTCTGTGTAAATCAAATCTGCCAGCAGAAAGACATTATATTTGCTTAGCTGGGTTTCCTTCCAGAGCACATGCAATTGTGAATTTCAAAGACAGTGCCTGCCAATTACTGTTGGCTTTAAGGGAGTCAGAGGTTTTATAATTAAATCCACCACTATATGCCCCTGGTAGTTGGAAGCTAGAGAGAAACTTAAATCATGATTTTCCTAGCTGCCATTGCCTCACTGATAATTTCTCGAGGCCTTTGGCTTTTTAACAGTGTAAATAGCTGAATTCAAATTGCATGGGAGATTTTAAAAAATTGATAAAAGCTGTATAAATGAAAGTAATTACAATTAATAAATATTGATACTAAAGGTTACACTTGTTGGGCAAAAAAAAATTAAGCACTTTGTGCATCCAATATTCTAAGAGGCACCGTCTGTACTAAGTAGATACCCACAGGGGTATGGAGATATTTATACTGCATATTTAGAATTACTGGTAAGGGGAGGTAGAGAGAGAGAGAGAGACAGATAGCGCGTGCATGTGTGTATGTGTGTGTGTGTGTGTGTGTGTGTGTGTGTGTGTGTATACATCTATACAGATCTGAATTCAAGTTGAAAATTTCCACCATTTATCTACTTCACGTATCTACTCTTCTCATGCGTGTTGTTTTTCAAAATGGGGGTATTGTGGACAAACCAAAAATTATGAAAGATACTTAAAATGTCATAAAATATAAAGCCTCTAAATAAAAGTCTTCCCGTTTAAAATTTATATCATATTATAAAAAAAAACTTGAAAAATAGAAGTGTTAGGAATTATAGACCCTAAAAGCAGAGGTAACCAGAAACCACATGAGACTACATCATACATACCCAAATATAATTTTTTTATTTTATTTTATTTTTAAAGACAGTTTTGCTCTTGTTGCCCAGGCTAGAGTGCAATGGCATGACTTCAGCTCACCGCAACCTCCACCTCCTGGGTTCAAGTGATTCTCCTGCCTCAGCCTTCAGAGTAGCTGGGATTATAGGTGCCCACCACCACTCCTGGCTAAATTTTTTGTATTTTTAGTAGAGATGGGGTTTCTCTGTTTTGGTCAGGCTGGTATTGAACTCCCCACCTCAGGTGACCCACCTGCCTCAGCCTCCCACAGTGTTGAGATTACAGGCATGAGCCACCACACCCAGACCGTCTTAGAGTTTAGATTGTGTTTTAAAAGGCCTCCAAGTGGTGATGTGGGGCAAATTTACTCTACCAGAAAAAGATAAAACACAACCCTAAAGAAACGTACAATGTGACCCAAGTTCTTGCCTTAGTGTTTCTGACATATTACATAAAAACTATTAGGACTTTCCCAAAAGCTTTTAGTGTAGAATATAGGCTTATGATATTGATTAGGTTGTTTCTTTGTAGCTGAGAGTCAAATTATCTTCTTATATCAATTAATGGACCAATACAACTATTTCAATTCTCTTTAATTGGAAAGGAGAAAGCAAAACTTCTATTTGAAATATGATTTTGTCCAAATGATAGGATGATTTATAGCTAAATTCAGTGTCATGTAAAACATAAGATTAGGGCTTTCTGTTTACTTCCTTAAAGCATGACTGTTTATACTGTACTATATTTTATTTATGGGAATCGTAACTCCATATTGAACATTCAATACTAAATACTACATGCTGTGGAAAATGGAAAATGGAAAAAAAGTAGAGAAGAGATTGATTTTTATTAGTGTTCCCAAGGGCGATAAGTGCTAGAGATTCATTATTATTTTCCGTGTATTTATTTGCCCCTCCCCCAGAAAGAAGGGTATTAGAAATAAGTATAATAGTATAAAAGATAACCAAATAAGTCAGGGTGAAGGGAAAATATGCGAAAAAGATGCCATCAGTTCACAAAAAAATCTAAGTATCATAAAGTACTGGATATTTGCTTAAAGTAGATTGTGTATCAAAGACAGACAGATGATCAAATACAATATTCACATGGTATATAATAGCAAAATATACTAGTTCTTAAGGAAATCCCCATGCCTTTATACTTGAGGCACCATATGATGTATTAAATAGTATCATCCCGTTCATGGTATCCCTGAAATTAATACATTCAACGGAGAGTTTCATACAGCTGGTTCTTTTTCTTAAATATATTTTATTTTGTCCTGAGAACAAAGGCCCAAATGTGGAAAATGGAAGCAAGTAAGAAAGAGCAACAGAGCATTTTTATTTTCTGACTACAATGTGAAGTTCAACTCTGTTGCCATTTTAGGGCAGAGCGTTTGCTTTAATGGTCGGTGAGATGGAAGCAGTCTTGACATTCCCCTAAGAAATTTTGAAAACACAATTGGGACATGTCCCAGAATAGAAAGTCATCAAAGTCTATTTTACTTTCATTCATGGGTAGATCCAGGTAGTTTCACACAGGCAAGGTCAAAATAATCTTTCCAAAATCAATTTCTCATCCTTTCAGCATTTAATGATCAAGGTCCCAAATACATGCCATAGAAATTGTATGCAATAATTGTAGCTTAGACTATTTCTAAAGCGGGGTTACAAGTCCAATTTGGTCCAAGGTAAATTATTAATGCGTCCACTAAATGCTTAATTTTAACAAATGCAACTCCCTGGTCAACTCTATAATAAATTAACTATAAAATGTGTTCTTAGGGAAGTTGTTCTATACTATATTATATAATTGTCACTGCACAATGTACAGTCATGTGCTGTATAACAATGGTTTGTAGGGCCAGGTGGTGTGTCTCAAGCCTGTAATCCTAGCACTTTGGAAGACCCAGGTGGGAGGATCACAAGGTAGAGGGTTTGAGACCAGCCTGGCCAACATGGTGAAACTGTCTCTACTAAAAACACAAAAATTATCTAGGTGTGGTGGCCCATGCCTGTAATCCCAGCTACTCAGGAGGCGGAGACAGGAGAATTGCCTGAACCTGGGAGGTGGAGGTTGTAGTGAGCCATGATTGCACCACTACACTCCAGCTTGGGTGAAAGCACAAGACTCTATCTCAAACACACATACACACAACACAACACAACACAACACACACACACACCAATGTTTTGGTCGATGATTGACCACGTAAGATTATAAAGGGGCTGAAAAATGTTTATCCTTTAGTGACATAACTGTTGGAATGTCATAATGCAATTCATTACTCATATGTTTATGGTGATGCTGGTGTAAACAGACCTACTATGCTGTTACTTGCAGAAAACTATAACACAATTATGTATAGGATACTTGGTAATGATAATAAATGACTATATTACTAATTTATATATTTACTATACTATGCTATTTTCATTATCTTAGAGTATACTTCTTGTACTTATAAAAAAGTTAACTGTAAAACAGCCTCAGGTACGTCCTTCTGGAGGTATTCCAGGAGACATTGCTATTATAGGAGATGACCCCTCCAAGTGTGTCATTTCCCCTAGTGGGACAAGATGTGGGGGTAGAAGACAGTAATATTGATTTTTCTGACTTTGTGTAGGCCTAGGAGAAAGAGAAGTGTAATTAACTTTCCACAATACATTCATGGAGCTCTACACAGTATGAGAAAAGCTCCCTGTGTCCAATATTAACAAAACTAGGCTCCAGAATTATTTTATCCCAACACATCATATTCTGTACTACTGAGATTAGTGGAAGGGAACAGGCAATTTTCTGTAAATAAGAAAAGCATGTATGATTACAGTCTGAGGATTAAAGGAAGGTGAAAAGTACAGCAAATTAAAATTCTTGGTAATCTGAATGTTCTTGATTTTTGAACAAAAGTTTTTTTATCAGTCACTACTTGTCACCTCTCAATAGCTACACAAAAAGTCTTTCATTCCATAAACACTCAAATGTGAGAAACTTGAATCCTTCTGCCCATGCTGAATTCAGTCGCTTAACACCAACACCCACTTTGAAAACTGAAAAGTTATGAATATTAATTAATTTCCTGGTAGAGAAGTTGTCCTTCATTATGAATAAATGCAACAGCTTTAACTGTGGCAACAGCCAGACCAAAACAAATGGGTAAGCAGCTATTATATTATGGGTATGTTTATTTTAATTTCCAGGAAATTCTGGGTGCCCCTTTTTCCTCTGGGGACTTCTAGCATTCTTGGGCTTGGCTTTGGTTATATCACTGATCTTCAACATTTCCCACTGTGTGGAAAAGCAACGACAAGGTAAGACATTTTGACAAATTTCACATGGTACCCGCTTGAATGGAGACTAGGGACTCACTGGAAAACATATGGAAGTAGACAATTTTATGAAATGTCATTCAACAGGTTATTTTTATCTGTAGAAAATTTATTTGCTAATTTTTCTTACCCAAAGAGTTCTCTTATTTAAGAATGCAATCATATGAGAAATGTGAAAAAATTATCCAATTTAGCTTTATCTCTGCTTTAGGGTATAGCGTGGGAAGGGATTATCCTGGTAAATAGGATTTTCCTTCTCCAACTGAACAACCTATGAAATTGTGGTCTATTCTGGGGAAGCCATCAAGGTTCTCTCTGATACATGGTAAATAAAGGGAGGTCTAGTCCTTTAAGATTCCATTTAAGCCAACTGTATCTCAGGATCAGTCAGACACTCTCAAGTATAATACATAGAAGCAGGCTCAGAAGACAACTGGAAAAGGAATAGATTGAACCACGGGCTTGCTGTCAAACACTCCCAGGGTTTAGAAGAGTAGGTCAAGGGTATCTGCAGCTGTCAGCTTTGCTTTTCAATATGCTGGGCATAAGTTTTAGCCATGTGGCTTTCAATCTGCATGTGCCACAAATGAAATGGTGTAAAGTCCAGCAACTGGCACAGCCTTTGTATGCTGTAGGCATCTGATACATGTTGAATACACATGGATCAATGTTGAGTCCAATACATGTTGACTACACATGGATGAATGGGAGAATGAAAGTTCAACTATTGCTGGAAGATGTCTTTTTTTTGTTTTTTGGGTTTTTTTTTGAGACAGGATCTTGCTCTGTCATCCAACCTGGAGTGCAGTGGCATGATTCTAACTCACTGCAGCCTCCAACTTCTGGGCTCAAGCAATCCTCTTGCCTCAGCCTCTCAAGTAGCTAGGATTACAGGCATGCACAAACACACCCAGCTAAATTTCAGATTTTTTTTTTTTAAGAGATGGGGGTCTCGCTATGTTGCCAAGGCTGATCTCGTACTCTTGTTCTCAAGTGATCCTCCTGCCTTGGCCTCCCAAAACCCCGAGATTACAGTTGTGAACAACCACAACCAGCCTGGAAGCTGTTTAAATATCAAGAAATCCTTAGGGACAGGACATAAGTGGTAATAAAAGAAAAGAAAGAATAAATGCATTTTCTTTTAACAGAGGAAACAAAATAAAACTAACAAAATTAACTTAGACACCTGTCCAAGAAAAATTGTATGGAACTAATTTAGAACAATGGTCAGATTGCAGCAAGTGTCCTTGCTTCTTTTAGAAATATCTTAAGCTTTGATAATACTAATATAAAATATGAAGGGATTATTGTCATGCAGGTTTGAAAAAAAGACGAGAGGCACTCAAAAATGGAGAGGCACAGCTGAAGCCACACATCTATTCAATAGCAAAATCAATGATAAGTGTCCACTCTTCTAATTCTCCGTCTAGTAAGGTTTCTACCAGCACATCCAACTTTCACATTGCTCCCCAGTTGGCCTTAGCCAGAAACCCAACACTCTTTTTGGATCTCTATGGTATCAATTCCATGGCTAAGGTGAAATTCCTAGCAAGCAATGCTTTTGCATTAGCAATGATTTCCGTAATACTTTTAAAAATCTAATGTATTTTCAAATAAACTTTATAAGTCAAACGTATAAACGACTCATCAAACATCTTCTACAGTTTCCCTCTTTTATAGATGAAAATGAGCTCAGAGTAGCACTTTTCTTTACACATTCAACTGGCTATTTTAACTTCTTCATTAAGACATCGTATAAATGCAGATAATATAATCTGAATTATAAAAAAAAAAACAACAACGTGAATTGAGATCTAAAGAGAGTAAATTACGTAAGGTGAAAACCAAGACAAGAACAGGAATCTGAACTAGTACCTTGCTCTTTCATTGAGTCCATTGGTAATCCTTTGAAGATTGTCGAGGGCCAGGTAACAGATAGACACTGACATGCTTATCTTGAGCCCAGTCGTCTAACTTAAAATTTATCCGGCAAATGTGACCTATTTACTTTCAACCTAAATTTTCAATTTTTTTCAGTCTTATGATTGCACTGATTATGGATGTTAAAAACCACTTTTTATCATCATCATCAAGATCAGGACTAGTATAATTTGGCTAAACTAGTACTTCTGCCCCAGAAGTATTCAGCTGTACTAGTCTTTTACAACTCATTGTAAACAGGTTTTACAATTCTCATTTTTGGTAGTTTGTGCATTGAGATTTACCCACATCCATACCTTTTTGCCTCCATGAAAACTCCTTTGTGTAGTTGCTTATTATGGTAAGTTGACCACTGCAGAAAGACAGTAGCCTTACTTTAAAAAAGCAGCACCGAAAAAAGCAGTGCCTGTAATTCCAGCACTTTGTGAGGCAGCGGTGGGTGGATCACCTGAGGTCAGGAGTTGGAACCAACCTGGCCAACATGGAGAGATCTCATGTCTACTAAAATTACAAAAAATTAGCTGGGCGTAGTGGTGTGTGCCTATAATCCCAGCTACTTGGAAGACTGAGGCAGGAGAATTGCTGGAACCCAGGAGGCAGAGGTTGCAGTGAGCTGAGATAGTGCCACTGCACTCCAGCCTGTGTGAAAGAGTGAGACTACATCTCAAAAAAAAAAAAAAAAAAAAAAGGCAACACCTTTTCATTTTGTTATTTCAGGACAGATTTTTTTCTTTTCAATTGTGCAAACACGTACTGCCCCAGGCATGCCATAAATGGCTCTATTACCTAAAAGTAGTGTAATATGAGAGCAAATTTTTAAGAAAACAAACAATAAATTGTATTTATTGATCTATTTTTTAAATAAATTTTGCTTCCCTCAATTGTTTTGTTTGTTTGTTTGTTTTTTGAGACGGAGTTTCGCTCTTGTTACCCAGGCTGGAGTGCAATGGCGCGATCTCGGCTCACCGCAACCTCCGCCTCCTGGGTTCAGGCAATTCTCCTGCCTCAGCCTCCTGAGTAGCTGGGATTACAGGCACGCGCCAACATGCCCAGCTAGTTTTTTGTATTTTTAGTAGAGATGGGATTTCACCATGTTGACCAGGATGGTCTCGATCTCTCGACCTCATGATCCACCCGCCTCAGCCTCCCAAAGTGCTGGGATTACAGGCTTGAGCCACCGCGCCTGGCTTAATTGTTTTTAATGTATACCTTTGAAGTAGACCTGATGTAAACTAGAACTCTGCCTTCAATATTTAGCTGGGAGATCTTGTACAAGTAACATAATTTCTCTGAGCTTCAGTTTCCTTATCCGCAACATGTGGAAAATACCATCTAGACCATAGGGTTCCTGTAAGAATTACACACACACACACACACACACACACACACACACACATTTGCATAGTGCTAGAGACTTAGTAGGTCAGTCCTAGATCTGGCACAGCCTATCCCCATACCTGGAGATCCTGTTGCTTCCTTCCCTCTTTCCACAAATAATTATTAAGGAACTACCATGGCTACCATTTAATGTTCACGTCTGTTACTCTGGTGAACACTGGTTTCTCTGGCTATTTTGCTGCTCCCACCATCACCATCCCTATGCCCCTCTAAGTCCTCTCCAGCTCCAGCTTCACTTCCCTCATCTCTATCTTATTTAACCAATCTGTACAATACTTTGAGCTCTAGCACTAACTGTTGTGCCAGCTTCACTTCCCTCATCTCTATCTTATTTAACCAATCTGTACAATACTTTGAGCTCTAGCACTAACTGTTGTGCTCAAGTAAGTCACGTTCAGGTCCATTTCAGAGAGTTTTCTGTAGAGTTTCACGGAATTGGTTCTAAACATTCACTAATCACCTAAGTTTTTATTTGAGCAGTAATGTGCCCTCCTTAGGTGGAGCACACACTGGAACGGGCACTTTATTGGTATGCAGTTGATGTATCCATCAATGCTAAGAATGCCCTTTGTTCTTATCCCACCTCCACCCTTTCTGCCCCAACTTCTCCTAACATCTTTTCCCAAGTATTAGTAATAGCTCTGCCATTCTTTCTATCCCATATGAACAAACAGAACTGTCTTTCTTTTTAACCCAGAGATTTCAGATATATTTCAGAACTGCTCTGCGAACAGTTCAATTCCTTCCCAGTCCTCCTGAAGATGCCTTTTTGCCTTATTTCTCTTAGACAAACAAACTATAAAAAAAGATCCTATTGTATCAGCCAGCTTTTCTGCCACTTGGGCTGTGAATGTAACGCCCCTGTATCTGGCCTCATGTAACTTTTTATGTTTGCATTTTTGTATCACTCTTTGTGGCTAAGAAACTTGCAAGATCTGACTCCACCTTGGTTAGTCAGTGAATAAGTTTTGCTGGTGTAATAAATAGCGTTCAAAAGAAAATCTCCATTTCAGCAACAATACAATATCTGCACATTCAATCAGATAGACCAGATAAGCCTCCCCTTGATGTTTTCTGCAGCAGCTAGGTAGAAGCTTTGTAATGGAGTTCTCTCATTCTCCCTGAAATAAATCCTTCATTTTTATGTGAATCTTTGTTCAAATCTGTTCTTTAGGAGGATTATATTTATTTCTTTTTCTGATAGGAATGCATTAACTATTTCCTTCTTTAAATTCAAAATCTCTTTGTTAAATTCTTCCTCTCTGGTTTGGAAAGAATAAGCAAGTGTATTATTTTGGTCATACATTAAGATCCTATCAGCAGAAAATTATGGCATCTTCACATTGAATATGTATCAGAAAAATTTTATTATGGAGTTTAAACTATGTGCTGCTGTCTCGTGTTGTGTGGTGCACAGGAGAGTTAACACTCTAAAAGGAAAAACATAAAAGCAAACATATTTGCATCACACCCTCTCAACTACAAACCTGACCGCAAGTGTTTGCACCTGAATCACAGGAGAAGATTATGAGAGTTCACCCAGTTCTTCCCATGCACAGTCTTGCACACTTCATTGCTTTACAGCAAAGCATACACTTTTTTTATTTTGCTAAGTGTCACTGAAATCATCAGGCAGCTTTTAAATTAAGTCATGCCACTTGTTTTTTAAAAAAACTTTTGAGCCTTCATGACAGAGCAAACTTTTCAGGAGCCTGAGCTTGCTGGCTTTTATTTTTAGCTGTAACCTCTGAACTTTTTACTACTACTCATTTAAAGTGATTAGAAACTTCTTCTAGGAAGGATTTGCAACACAAAAGTCACCCAAGTACAGATGGCTCAGCTGGAGATTACACATTTACATCCTAAGAGTAGCATGGAATGGGGTGCCCGTGAACGTACATCCCACTTCAGCTGCTCCCTTTATCCATTACTTGTTTTCTTTTTTTTCCCCCCACGAATTGGTTTGGTCCCTTTCCTTCCATCTAAACATCACATTATTATGTTGTATCTTTTATATTGTTGCTTCCGTTTCCTTTTTCCCACCCGCCTTTTTTGTCTTACTTTTCTTTTCTTTTTCCCTACTGACAATACATTCAGCACATTTCCATTCTACAGAGTTAGTTTTTATGTGTTACACTAGTATTGTTTCCAGGCACCAACATGCATACTTTAAGCACCTCCACCTGAAAAATCCACATTATCTTTTAAAAAATATTAGGGGCCAGGTGCGGTGGCTCACACCTGCAATCCCAGCACTTTGGGAGGCTGAGGCAGGTGGATCATGAGGTCAGGAGTTCAAGACCAGCCTGGCCAATATGGTGGAACTCCGTCTCTACTAAAAATACAAAATTTAGCCAGGCATAGTGGTGGGCACCTGTAAGCCCAGCTATTGAGGAGGCTGGCGCAGGGAATTCCTTTAACTCAGGAGGCAGAGGTTGCAGTGAGCCAAGATCAGCCACTGCACTCCAACCTGGGTGACAGAGCAAGACTCCATCTAAAAAACAAAAAAAAATTAGCCTGTTTGGGAATTATATTTACTCCATACCTACTTTTTCCATTCTTATTAAGCAATAACATCCTTCAATTTTGTTTTCAATTTTTTTGGCTGATTTTTTTCTCTTTTCTTTCAAATTAATGCTCAAGTGGTGACTATCCTTTTGTCAAAGGTGAGATTTTAGTAATTTCATTTCAAATCAAGCATTACTTATAAATCTTTTAACTTTAAAAAAATCATACCATCTTAATACCAGCCTATTTTCAACTAACTCTAATGAAATTTCCTGACTCAAATGAGCACAATTAAATTCCAGTTTGTTATATAATATGTATTTAGAATGTATATATAATATTAATAACAATCATTTAAAAGTGTTTTTGCGGAAATTATATCATTTACCTCTGACATGTACTCTGTGGTTACAGGCATTATTGTCCCTACTCCGTGGATAGATTGAGAACCAGAGTTTTAACGTAATTTGCATGTTGTCACGGGGCAAATGCATGGCAAAGCTGGTTCCAAATCCATGTCTTCTGATTCTTAACCCCGGATTTGTTTCATCATACATCAGGCTACCGTTTGACTAAATGCATAAGCATCTACTTTAATTTCAGGCAAATCTGAAGAATAATTAGTGGCCTGAGTGTAAACATTTTCTTCATATAGAAGGAAATCAACATATACTTTATATCATGCCTTATTTTTCAGTTTACAATTTCCTGATCTATATTAACTACTTTTTCTTTATATGCTTATTGATATTATGTACATTTCTCAGGGTTTTTGATTTGGCTGCACTTGTGGCTACTATGCAGTATCTTTTAGACCTCTCTAGGCTTCTCCCAGTGTTTGTGTGCACTCGTATTCACAAGACTAGTATGCAAGTAGTTGAAAAGCTGGGTGCAGTGGCTCACACCTGTAATCCCAGCACTTTGGGAGGTTCAGGCAGGCAGATCACAAGGCCAGGAGTTTGAAACCAGCCCGGCCAGTATGGCGAAACCCTGTCTCTACTAAAAATACAAAAATTAGTCGGACATGGTGGCACATGCCTGTAATCCCAGCTACTCAGGAGGCTGAGGCAGGAGAATCGCTTGAACCTGGGAGGTGGAGTTGCATTGAGCCAAGATAGTGCCACTGCACTCCAGCCTGGGTAACAGAGGGAAACTCCATCTCAAAAAAGAAAGAAAGAAAGTGGTTGAAAATAACTGCATCTTTTATATGCAGTTCATGGTAGAACATTTCCTCTGGGCTAGAAGTATTCCACTGACATATTTCATATGAATACATTCATCATGTTTGGTCTCATAGCAGCTTAGTGCATATGCAATGCAAAATCTTCCCTCATTTAGTCCTTCACAGAATTCTTCCAAACCCATTGACATGTGACATGTCCATTTCATCCTCCAATATGATCATTTTCATAAATTGTTCCACTAATGTTTCTTTAACAGTTAATAACCTCTCTGGAGAATAACTCAACTTTGTTGCACATAAATTTAACTAAAATAATTTTTGTGGTTGTTTGGTGACTTAAATATTTGAAAATGTTATTGCTAGTTCCTTACTAACAGTGTTTTTCATATATTCAAGTTGAAAGATCATCATTTGGTCACTATTGTCTCTCGGTTATTGTCAGAGTTAGATAATAGTGGTCTTTATTTTTACATGAATAACTCTTTTGCAAAGTTTTGGGTTTTATTTAATGGCAGATTGAAAAATAAGCCATTCAAATATAATAAACATTGTACTGTGTATATGCATCTAGTTCAACAGCAAAGAAAATTTATTGATAAATGGATAATACAGAATTTTCCATAATATTGATGTTAAGACTCTATCCTGAATATTCCTTAATTTTTCTCAATAATTCATTATGAATCTATTGCCTCCGCTAAAAAAATTCTCAAAACTATTTTTAAAGTATCTTTTGGTTTCTTATATTTAACCTAGAAGTGAACATACTTTTATTTGGCTTTGAACTACCACATTCAAGGATTAACAGTGAGTTGCTTACTGAGATTCATCAGTTTGTTTGTTTTTTAAATGGTTTTATCGTCCTTCAACACATCTCTGGTAAGTTTTGTCCTGGTAGACCAAAAAAACTTTTTTTTTTTAGAAGCCGTCCTACTGTTTTGGGTAATTTTAGAGCCTATGTTGTAACTTTTTCCAGGTCTCTTCTTCCTACGACCCTCATTTCTCCTAGCCACTGCTTTGTACAATGTGGATGAAATGGAGTCATGATCAGAGTAACTTCCTTAATATGATTTTTATGTCGTTACTCATGCCAAGAAATGTTAAAAGTAGATAGGTAGATAGATAGACAGACAGACAGACAGACAGATAGACAGATAGATAGAAAAAAGTCTCCTATTGATTTTTTTTCATTTTTGGTAAGGAAGAAAAGCCTATTCAAAGCACATGAGCAAAGATAAAAACATAATTATACGAATGCTGTGGTGTTTCATGGAACCCAAAGGCAGAAAGTACCATGATGCCGTGCAATGGACTGGCACCACATGGAGGCAGGAAGGAAGCTTCCAGCTCTCTCAGCTCAGTGTTTTCTGTGCATAAAACCACCATTCATCCAGGTTGTACATCGTCTCTAAGCTGTACTGGTTCCATCCTAAATTACCAGGAAAGTTGCCTGGTTTCTCTTCAAATCGTATAAATCTTTCTTTCTTGGTAATTTGGTAAAAGGTAAATCTGATTGGCCTAAGAAGAAACCTTTAATGCTACTTCAATCAGAGGTGGCCTGATGGCCTTGGTCAAAGATATTAACTGACATTGAGGCTAAACTCCCCTCAGAACACTCTGTAGAATATTTAATAAAAGTATGTCAACATTCCTTTTAACTTGTCTATTTTGAATATCTTTCAGATCAAATGTACAGGTACTCCAATGACTACATTCCCAGGTATGTTGAGATTGAGTCATGTATCATGATTCCCAACTAATAAGTGAAAGTAACAATGCTATATTGCTTATAGATATGGCTCATGGATGTTGTACTTAGATTAAAATAAAATAGTGAATTTTAATTACTTCTATTCTCATCTAACGATTAGAAGCTATAACATTATCTGCCCTAATTATTTGCACACTATGAGTCAGTGAGAGAGCTGGTTGAAGGATAAAGTGAGACTCTAACCTGGTATCTGTAGAATTCTCATTCATTTCAAAAGCAGGTATCTTAGATTATGATCCAGTTTAGATACGGAATTCAAAATCTATAGTAGAAAAAATCTGACAACCTAATACAACTTAAGATATGTACATGCACTGATATATGCAGGGATGCTTAGGCACTCTGCTATTTGTAAAGATAATGTCAATCAGTAGGGAAATGTGATAAACAGATTCTCTGAAAGAATATGCAGTTATAGATATAACTTATTCTCTTTAATAGTTATTGAACTAGTTGCAAATAAATTTGTACAGTAGTATACTTTTTTTTAAAAAAAAAGCATTTATGGCATAAATTATAGTGAATAAATTTTACTTTTTTTGGATAGTATATTCTGACCCAGATGTGTCAATGTATTGGAGATTTCTGTTTTAGGAGTAAAAGAAGTTCTAAATAAAGAGAATTTCCTAGAGGGCTCTTCAAGATCTTTCTGAAATGGTAGACTGAAAGGTCTCTGAAAAACACAGAGCTTTTTTCTCACTGGGTAGGATAAGATCATAAGCCTTCTTGGTTTTTTTGTTTTTTTTTTTTTTTTTTTGAGACAGAGTTTTGTTCTTGTTACCCAGGCTGGAGTGCAATGGCAAGATCTCGGCTTACCACAACCTCTGCCTCCTGGGTTCAAGCAATGCTCCTGCCTCAGCCTCCCGAGTAGCTGGGACTACAGGTGTGAGCCACCATGCCCAGCTAATTTTTGTATTTTTAGTAGAGACAGGGTTTCACCATGTTGACCAGGATGGTCTTGATCTCTTAACCTTGTGATCCACCTACCTCGGCCTCCCAAAGTGCTGGGATTATAGGCGTGAGCCACCGTACCTGGCCACCTTTTTGGTCTCTTAAAGGTTTTTTAAAAAACAAAACTCTTTTTCCATATGAAAACTTCCTGAGCAAATATAAGATGTAGGTTGCAGGCACACCCTCACACACAAAACCTTTATTTATATGACCACTCTTAACATTGAATTCTTTAACATTAGATAATTTTCAAGTCATTAGTTTATATCAGAAGAGTGATTTGCTTATTGCGCTTTCATTTTTTTTTAACAACACATAATGATGAAGGAAATCCTATATAACCACAAAATAAAAGCTAATCTCTTTGATGATCTATTTAATACTTGTAATTTGAAGGGCAATTAAGATGGAATGTAATAGAAAGTCTTGTGATTTGATCATTTAACTAAATTAGGTTGGTGGTTTAGGGATTAGGATGGGAGGAATGAGAGAAAAAATTGGTAAGATAGCTGCCTCAAAGCAATCAGGCTCTTAGCTGTAGAGCAAATGTAAGAAAGAGGCTTTTATAACGTTTATTCATTCAATAAATATTCACTCAAATAGGCCCTGTGCTAGACAATTGCAAAATACGTTTGCTGAATACCAATCCCAAGGGAGGATGTAAGATAGCAAAGATCGTTACTATGCCAACTACCAAGAAGAGGTGTCCGAGCACTTCAGCCCACTCTATCCTGGGCTGCACATTTACTACTTGCCTGAGTCTGGTGAGAGAAATCACACAAAGAATGAGTTACATAAAGTGAGTTTATTACTTAGAGATACACAGCAGAGGACAACCAACGTTCATTAGGAGCTAATTCCCCAAGGCTCAGGAAAGCTGCCCAAGGTGGACAGAAACTCATCTTCCTGTTCCCCACCTGCACTGCAGCTGAAGGACCCCAGAAAGCAGCCCACCTTTGGGTTTACCCCTGAGGGGCAACATGATATGCTGGGCTAAAGCACTGAAGGCTGTCCTGTTTCTATGAGAGACTGGAATAAAACCTATGCTGTTCCAGCCAGTTCTTCTTTATCCCTTATGTTGCATTTCTAGCACATTCTACAGTTATTCTTAAAAAGTACAAGTGAGAAAGAAAGTACTCGTTTAGTGCAAAGTCACCCAGATAACTGTCCTTCAACAACGAAGATACAAAGACGGAAAGGCAAAAATCTTTCCCTTAAGGATTTATAATCTATTGTCTATTGTAACAAATCTCTAGTTAGCCAAAACTTGAATATACAATGCAGATTTTTTCTGTAAAAAAGGATTGATACTTTAATCTGCAAGTTTATGTATATACTTTACATTTTGTCTATTTATCTTGATTATGTGGTTTGGGAACCAAAAATCACTTTTGTAAAGAGGCATGGAAGCTTGACAAACAAATAAGCAAACTAAAAACTATCTCAATCCATTAAACATTAAAACAGAGCAAGTGAAAATAAGGTCTAGGTTTCATAGGTGGGGCTTGCATTACTGATGCCTCTTCAGTTCCAACATGGTTTGTGGCCAGACAGATAGGAAATAAACTTCCATCACACTGAGTTCTCTGTTGCACTCTCTCCCCACTCCTATTCAATAGTGGCTTATGCTGGAAGGGAAGGAAATTGCTTCTCTCCTCTTATTTCTGTATTCCCAAATCCCTGCCCTTCCTGCAATAGTAGGTCAGAAATATGGTCACTTTAAGGAGAACACAGCATCTAAATCAAACAGAACATCAAATACACGCTTTCTTGTGTTTATCCTTGAGTCACTTTATTTTTCATTTAAAACATAATTCTTGTCTTTTGGTTTGTGTTAGGAGGATAATACTCTGAGACTATCATGGATTTGAGATCCAGGCAATTCTAGATTTTAAACAGACTTGCAATTAGTAGATTCACAGTCTTGGGGAAATGAGCATTGGTGAACTTTGGTTTTATCATTTGAAGAATAAGGCTTATCATATAAAACGTTATTTACAGAGGGTAGTTGATTAAAAACATACTGCTTTATTGAATAAAAACCAGTGTCTCTGAAAATTCCTGCCCCCTTGCAGTATGCTCACACCCTAATTCAAGAAAGTGTTCAGGTTTACAATTACATTAACCTTATCGTGACTCCTCAGTTTTCGGAGTCTCTCTCAAAAAGCTTACGACACATTTCCAGCAGCTTTTCATGAACTGCTTCTGGGGGACACTGGAGGTGCTTTAATCATAAAACATTCATTCAGCTCAGCTATTCTACTTTTGGGTGATTTCTTGAATTTCTGGAGCTCTGCAGGATGGGGATCTTCCTTGTTTCCCTTCTTTGCTAACTATGCCACCTAAATGTAACTATTGCCCTGTGCAGATCTTTAGTCTCATCTGTCCTCCTGACCTGTTCTCAAGGTTGAGAATCCTTATGAAAACACAACTCTTGGGTCCCCTTCCCTGCCATCTCAGACTTCCAAGTGGCTATGCAGGTGAGGCCTTCACTAGACCCAGTGCCACCTGTGTAACCAAAGTGTCTCTAGATCTTCCAACCTCCTGTTTGTTTTAATGTACAAATAATCATAACACAAGCCCCAACCCTGTATGTCTGCAAGAAGTCTCATCCATTTCCTAATTCTCAGAATCTTGGGGTTCCCCAAGCCTTATTCTTGGCAGCCCCCTTATCACCTCTATCTCTGTCACTGCTCTTGGATTCCCCGTCATTTTAGAAGTCTTCACATTGGCAGTTCTTTCTGGTATTCCTTCTGACAAACGTTGACAAAAGACCCTTCTTTTGAAGTGATCTACAGCACATGCAATGTGTCTTCATTGTGCTTAATAGACTTTACAAAAAATGAGCATATGAGAGAGGCACTTGAACACTGATCAACAGAATGAGAAAATTAATGTTAGATATCATGGCTCTGGGCATCCGTTAACCAACACTTCACAGAAGATATTGCTGGATTCACTTCTCAGCCTCAGTCACACGAAATATCGCTAAGATTTATACTCTTCCTCTGAATCAGGGTTCTCTATCTGGTGCCCTCCTATGTCAAGTTCAAGACATCTACCCCTGTATCACAGTCATGCTAGAGAAAGGAAAAATGTAATAAGCATATATGCATCACTCTAGCAACTTTTCCTTTTTCCTTCTACATTGTTACTTTTTCTATCCCTTTTTTTCATTCCCACCAATATATAAAATACCTTTAAAAAAACCAACCACCTCCTTGAAACTTGATTGCCTTACAGCTACCTCTCCGTTGTTCTTTTCTTTTACAATAAAACTTGAAAGATCCATCTATATTCTGTCCCTACTTGCTTGCTTTTCTTCGTCTTTTCCTCTTCTCTCTTGAACCTAGTCTATTCCATAAATCCTCACTAATGCACTGACTCTGCTCTTGTCAAGGTTACCATGATCAAACCTCAGTTTCATCTTGCTGGGTCCCGCTGCAGCATTTGACACCCTGACACTGTCTACTTGAAACATTTGATTCTCTGGGCTCTGAGCCACCTCCCTCTTTGGTTTTCCTCTTCTCTTACCAGCAACCCCTTCTCCTTTGCTGGTTTCTGAATCTTAAAAATCAGAGCGCCCAGGGACTCATTCCATAAATAACGTTGTATTCTTTCAGGGCTTTAAACATTTACGTGCTCACAGAGCCCAAACTTCCATCTTTGCTTATTCGAAGTAACAACTATGAAGCAAATCAGGTTAGCGATGACCAAAACCAACTGATAGATCCCGAAACTTGCCCTTCTCATATCCGGCAACTTCTCAGACCCTTAAAATAGACTTATTTAATTTTGTAAAAATGTCTTTCAATTTTATTTGGATGTTGGAATCCTGCATTTGTATCCTAGAACTTGAGAGCTGAAAAGAACAATAGAAATCAACTAGTTTAATATTCTCATTTAACTAAGACAATCTAAACTCAGAGAATTTAAGTCCAAGGTGATCAAATAGAAGTAACTTTTTTAAATTTTAATTTAGTCATTTAAATGGACTTGGATCACAAACTACTTGAGGAACTTTTAAAGACCTAATCAAATCATAAATGTAAATAAAAATGTAAAAAATAGGATCTAGAAAAAATATAAATGAAAGTACAAAATCTGGACCATAGTAATAGAATTAACACATTTTTCTTAACTTTGGAGTGTCGGTAAATGTACTTATTGGTTAGAGAATCATTTCAGGTATGTTCAGAACAATGGAGAGTCTGATATGGCTCAAAACTCAGAAGTGCACTCGTCTCTCAGATATGAGTTCAATTATTAGTTTATTTTTAAATGTAATTTATCACCCACATAAAACACTGCCAAACATTTGCTCCTGAGGTTTATTACATATTTACAATAGGCTGGAGCTATTTGGTATTATGAAGAACCTATTTTTAAATTTGTTTGTTAGGCGATTGGTCCTGAATAATAGTTTATTTGAGATGATTAATCATTTGAGATGGGTCTGTAGCCGTGGGCACTGCATTATAAATCACATGTTATTTTCATTCATAGGGAATGAAACAATATTCATATTTTGGAAGTGATTTATCATTTGCAAGTTGTATCGGCTATCTATGTGGGCTAGGAAAATGGATGGATTGTCTTATTAAAAATTCTTCACCTTTTGCTATTATATTCTTGGCATGGAGAAAAATCATGAGCAGGGACTACTTGGTATCCCAACATTAAGCTATATTGAATTACCGTATGCAAAGAAAGATTACTGATGAGTTTCTTTGTGATAAGTGAAGTGTATGCCCATTTTTGTTTTTAATACCCACTTATTATTTACATATAGTGTGTCTTTTTTCAGTAGTATGGGGAATAATTCAGGTGTTATGCCTTGTTAAGAGTCCTTTTTTTATTTCTTCTGATGTAATTCCCTCCAGCTCTCAGTGACATGTAATCTCAAAGTTAAAGCAGTTGGTACTGTTTTATGAAATGCCACTCTCACCACCTGATAAGTTCCCCAGTTCCCAGACTATCACTGTGAAATCTGGTCACTAGGGCCATCATGATTGGTAGGATGGCATTGGTAGAATGACAGTCTGGTGACAGTGGTAGGACGTATACTGTAATCCTAACAGCATTACTCACATAAGGCTGGAAGGAACTTTAATCAGCTAGCAAGAGAAAGAGCTGTGCATTCTTGTCAGTTCTCTTGACTTTGGGGTGGAAGAGACATAGAACTGTGGTCGCTGTACAGTCTCCAGACTGTTTTCCTATAGCCTTTGAATTCTATCACCCTCTGAATAGCTTCCTCATCATGTGGACTGAGCACAGGGCTTTATGACCAAACTTGCTGTACAATCCTAGCACTGCTGATTCCTCAAGGATCTAAAACAAGAAATATCATTTGACCCAGCTATCCCATTACTGGGTATATACCCAAAGAATTATAAATCATTCTACTATAAAGATACATGCACATATGTTTATTGTGGCACTGTTCACCATAGCAAAGACTTGGAACCAACCCAAATTCCCATCAATGATAGACTGGATAAAGAAAATGTGGCACATATACACCATGGAATACTACGTAGCCATAAAAAAGATGAGTTCATGTCCTTTGTAGGGACATGGATGAAGTTGGAAACCATCATTCTCAGCAAACAGGAACAGAAAACCAAACACTGCATGTTTTCACTCATAAATGGGAATTTAACAATGAAAACACATGGACACAGCAAGGGGAACATCACACAGTAGGGCCTGTTGGGGGGTGAAATACCTAATGTAGATGATGGGTTGATGGACACAGCAAGCCATCATGGTATGTGTATACCTATGTAACAAAGCTTCACATTCTGCACATGTATCTCAGAACTTAAAGTACAATAATAAAAAAGAAAACCTAGCACTGCCAATTACTGACTGTTTATCTCTGACAATGTCATTAACCTCTATGAGTTGCAAATACCTTATATGCACAAGAGAGATAAAAATAGGCATCTCATATTATTGTCTTGAAGGCTCAATGAGCACTTGCATAGAGAAAATTTTTCATAATTGGCAAGTTATTGCTGATATTTGAGATAAACCTAGGGAAAATAAATTAATCTAGCTGAATCTCAGGATTCTCCTGTGTAAAGCAGGGAATAAAACTACGACTTTTGGAGATTTCCTTTGTGGGTTTTTGATGTAATGTATGTAAAACACATAACCCAGCATCTGGACATATTAGGTGATCCATCATTTTATCAGATTGCTAACTTCAGTCTGTAATGCTTAGAAAACATGGTTTTAAGAGACTGTTTGGACTGATATTCTTGGTGGATCAAGAGCCAGTATGTTGTACAATAAAAAGCATGGATTACCTGGGTACTAATTCTAGCTCTGCTATTTACTAGTCTAATAAATTGAGCAAGTCATATAACCTCTCTGTGCCTCAGATTCCTTATTTATATAAAGGGGATGATATAGTACCTATGCTGGAATTGAGAGAATTAAATGAACAAACATACGAAATATATTCACTGTAGCACCTAATACACTGTACTATTGAATAAGTATTTGCTATCATTATTCCCTGTAAGGTCCCAAAAGCAACTTTTTTAATTTACACAAACACATGTACACATACATAAGTGCATGCATGTTCTCACTTGCACGAGAGTACTTCTACCATGGTTGGTTAAGGCTAACCAAGAAGAGGCAATAGTTTACTCAGTATTGAATTTAGCTGAGAAATTAGTTATGAATTATGTGAAAAGTGGAATCTAATAAGGTAAAATTTTTTTTTGTTACAGGGATGATGAGTATTATATTGAAGACACACCGATTTATGGTAACTTAGATGATATGATTTCAGGTAAGTTTTCCATAAATTACATTTATAAACAAATCAAGTAAATCTCACTTGGTTTCAAAAAATAATTTAAGTGGCACTTTAAAAAAATCACAATCACACTTAGATATCCAGTGGTAGCCATCAATTCAGGTACTTTCAGTATGTTAATTAGTCTATATTTCCAAAGCTGCATATTGTAAGTTGTATTACAACAGCCTCTCTAAATCGACATCCTGTTTTTCTATATTCTCTTCATTTCACTTTAGTAGTGATGAGAATACAGGAAGACTATTACCATGAATTTTGACACACATCAAATGCTATGAAACAAAGCTATTTCTAGACCAGAAAGTGGTCCACAGAAACAGTGCTTTGTGTTTGGTAAACAAAAGCAAATATGTAGTGAATAACACGGAACAATGAACAGTTTATTTGGTTTCCCATGTTTTAAATAGAGAATATAGGGCTGGAATGATGGCAGGCGGGAGAAAGAGGAACTAAATTGATGCTGAGTGGTTTATATGTTTATTTTGTTCTTAAGTGCTCTTCGATTCCCAGAATCCCTTATCACTTGCATCATCCCAGACACCTAAAAATAAAACACCCCTACATTTCTCAAGACAGATAACATTGGTCTGATCCTAGAGTTCTGATGATAGAAACTGCCACCCTCTGCCTGCAAGTACTCATTCAATACATCACAGAGACCTAGGGGTTCATTACTGTTGAACTCCAAGTGTTGAACACAGAGATATCCAGTAATATACTAAATTTATCTAAATATCTATATATTACAACAGTATAGAATCATCCTAAAGTTAGAAATGTGAGAATTTTCTTTTATATGATTTAAGAATTTATTTTTGGGCCGGGCGAGGTGGCTCCCGCCTGTAATCCCTCCACTTTGGGAGGCCGAGGTAGGTGGATCACGAGGTGAAGAGATCAAGACATTCCTGGTCAACATGGTGAAAACCCATCTCTACTAAAAATACAAAAAATTAGCTGGACATGGTGACGCGTGCCTGTAATCCCAGCTACTCAGGAGGCTGAGGCAGGAGAATTGCCTGAACCCAGGAGGCAGAGGTTGCAGTGAGCCAAGATCACGCCATTGCACTCCAGCCTGGGTAACAAGAGCAAAAACTCCATCTCAAAAAAAAAAAAATTATTTTTATCTTTTCTTTCATTGTAGAGTGTCCTCTAGCGCTCTAAGGAATCAAAAATTATTTTTTGGAAACATACTATTAAAAATAATTTATCCCCATTTCACTTCACAAAATCATTTTGGCCATCTGTAATATTCAACTACTCAAATTCTTGTGTATTCTGGTGGCTCCAAACCCATCATACCCGTAACTTCCACTCGTAAGTAAGCCCAGGTGCCACTTGCACAGATTCTGATTTAGCAGGTCCAGGCTAAGGCTTCGGAATCTGCTACCTAACATCCCAGGTGATTCTGATGCAGATTTTCCATGGACCATCATTTGAGAAACACCACTCTACATACCCTTTTTCTGTTGCTTTTTAGAAAGGGCTCAACGATTATTAAGTTGCTTTGGTTATAGTAAATCTATCTTTTTCTCTCTGAGGGACAAAGTGGTACAGTCCACACTTCTGCCAGGTTACTGGCCATCCTATGAGTCACTATTTCTCTTTCTTCCTTTGAAATGGACCTATCTGGGGGAAGGCAGGTGTGAATGATTCAAAAGTTATGGCCCTGTAGGATTAAATGAGCGCAGATCTCTTGGCTGTTGAACACTATACAAAACCCCCAATTACTAAAGGACCAGCATTGTGCAGCCCCAGACCCTTAGGCAGTATGGCCGAGATGTCCTGTCACTGACTGATGGAACAAGTCATAATCTAAAGCCTCTTTTTCAAAATTAGGATGCAGGACTTAAAATGCCTCTGAGTAAAACTCCTTACTTAAGGAATGAATTTCAAAATTGTAATCACTGATGTATGTGCACTGTGCTTTGTGCCACCACGCACCATTTGCAGTCTGTCTAAATGGAGAACACAGGCAATCCTTTAACCTGTGGGATCTCTATGACATCCGCATGGTAGTTTAAGACTGTTGTGTCCTGCAATGGTGTAAGAAAATTCATATGACTGACTTCTTATGCCAAGGACTTATCTTTATCTTACTAATCCTGTAGCTCAAAAGACTTCACTGCCTTATCTGCAGGTCCCAGTTTGGGCTTCCTTACCTCTATCTGCACCAACGAGACTAGTTAAGTGATTCTTGGACAGTTTACATTTACAGCCAAATATTGTTTGGATCATATGTTTTTATTTATACTAGATGTTTAAATTTTCTCCTGTGAATTACCATCTTTTTAACTCCCAAGAACCAATGGATGAAAATTGCTATGAACAAATGAAAGCCCGACCAGAGAAATCTGTAAATGAGAGGCAAGAAGCTACCCCATCTGCACAGGTGAGTTTTGTTTTCTGTTTCCACATTTGCATATTTCAAGAGCATAATAGCAGTACATTATGATACACATCTGAAAGAGCCTGTTAGAAATTTTGCCATCAATCAGGTGTCAAGTTCTAGGATCTGAGCTCTAATTCAGAGGCATATAAACAGAACTCAAACCATATTCAAAGAGTCAGAATTGTACACAATCACAAAGGCTATAGGTTTTAAGGGAATAATGAAATTATTCCAATTGATTAAGTTTTTTCTCTCTGATGGAAAATTTTGTGTGTGTCACAGAGATAAATATAGAAGTTGACATGTGGATAATGCTCACAAGACCTAAATGTCAGGAATTCAAAAGACAGAGCTAGGGTAGGGAGAGGGAGACCAGAGAGTTAATCAGAAAACCTAATAATAAAGTGAGTTCACAAATCCTAGAAAATTTGAGAAATACAAGTGTGAGCTTGCTCCTCTTCTCTTTATATCCAAATCTTTCCTTCCTATATCAGAAGCATCCTTTCTTATTTCCAAAACCAATGCTCTTATTCATGATCTTGACCATTTCTCCTAATTCTTTTAGGATCTTGTACTTTCAATTATTTCATTTTTATTGTTTCCATTTTTTTAATGACAACACTATTTGCCTAACAATATGCAAAAATCCCTCCAACATTAAAAAAAAAACATCAACCTGTTTTTCTTTCTGATTTCTAAACTGATTCTTAGCTTCTTCCTCTATTGCTTGGATTTCTCTCAATAGATACACATTCTTTTACCCTGACTATGTGTTTTCCACTCATGCACTTAACTAACAACGCACTGTGGAAGTCTCCAGTGACTGTGAAACATACATACAACTTGTGGTCCTTTCTTAGGACTCGCACTGTTGAACTCTGTAGCACTCAATGAAGTTGACCAACTGTAGACCACACATACGTTATTTGGAATGCTTTCAGATATAAATGAAAAAAACACATTGAGATTAAATTAGAAATAACTTGACGGCAGCATATGGCAGTGGGAAGAGACTAGAACACAGATCCAGTTAGGCAGCTATTATAATTTTTCCAGAAAAGAGGCTATTAAGAATAAAAAGCTGGACAAAAAGCAAAAAACAAAACAAAACAAAAAAAAACCCCAACATGGTCAGGCGTGGTGGCTCATGCCTATAATCCCAGCTCTTTGGGCGGCTGAGGCAGGTGGATCACCTGATGTCAGGCCTGGTCAACTTGTTGAAACCCTGTCTTTACTGAAAATTAGCTGGGCATGGTGGTGGGGGCCTGTAGCTGGGGGCCTAATCCCAGCTACTTGGGAGGCTGAGACAGGAGAATTGCTTGAACCCGGGAGGCAGAGGTTGCAATGAGATCGTATCACTGCACTCCAGCCTGGACAACAGGAGGGAAACTCTGTCTCAACACACACACACATGCACACACACACATGCACACACACACACACACACGGTATAAACAGAACCATCTTTTCTATTCGGCAGAGCATATAAAACATTTCACTCTCAGCATGAAAACAAATGCCAATGGGGAGATGCTTACTTATGCATCAGAAATTAAATGTTAATCCAAATGTTGTTTCTTCACCCTTGTCCCTGCAAATCAATACAATTTTGGCCTAGTCTTAAAGAGTAATGCTTAATACATACATCTTTGATTTTTTCAATGGCTGTCTTAAGTTTTATTCTACACCTTTTAATAATTACAATGCTACCTTACTTTTGGACAGCAGTTATCGCTTCCACATACATTATCTCTATTTACTAACCATACAAACACTATGATGATGATTCACATTATCTAGGCAAGAAAATTGAGGCTCAGAATAGTTTTTAAAAACCTGCCAAGGCCCCGTGATCACTGTGTGGCAAAGCTGGGATTCAGTCATCATCTCTCCAGTGCCAAATTCAAGGTCTTGCCATTAGCATGTTGTTTCCCCTAGGTAACCTAGTTTCCTGTCTTTCTCATTTTAGTATTGACCCAGCTCTAGTCCAGAGAAGCCCACTGGGCCGTCTCTTGGATGTGAATGGACATCTCCAAGGCCAATCTAAAACGAGCCCAAAAGGGATCTGGGGAAGGCAAATAAGAAAATAATAGGGAAAGATAAATTTAGTTATTTACCAGATATCTATCATTTAAGTGAATATTGTTATCTTTATGCTTCCAAATCTTAAAAATGTAGAAAAACTGGGGACTGTTGTGGTACCATTAAATAACCAATTATTAGGTACATGAAGAGTAGACCTTGTTTATTCCTATTTTAATAAACTAGAGTATTGTTACTTGGTAAGAGAAACATAGGTCCAGAACTAGCTTAGGTGGAAGGTAGGGCAGGTAAGAATCAACCTAAAATGTTCATGTACACTTAGAGTACAAGAAAGAAAGAACATCTAGGAAAAAGTTTCGTCTGAGCACTTTTTCAACTCAACAATGTTGGTTGACTATCATTTTCTGTTGTTTTTTGTTTTTGTTTTTGTTTTTTGTACTGACCGATTTGACAAACAAGGTAAATGAGGCCCAGAAAACAAGTTACTTGGTTTTCACAGGCCATAGAAATTTCCAGAAGTCTAGTTAAAGAACAAAATAACAATGAGAAATTTACATCCCTTTCTTTTAGGCAACCAACGAAGCGCAGATGTGCTACGCCTCACTTGATCACAGCATTAAGGGGAAGCGCAGGAAGCCCAGGAAACAGAATACCCATTTGTCAGACAAGGATGGAGATGAGCAATCCCATGCAACGGATGCCAGCGTTTCTAAGACCACCTTAGTAGACAGTTTCTCCCCAGAAAGCCAGGCAGTAGAGGAGAACATTCATGATGATCCCATTAGACTGTTCGGATTGATCCGTGCTAAAAGAGAACCTATAAACTACCTGGACCATGATCTAGCTCAATGATTTGGCTCCTGCTGAAGATGGTTGCTAAGAAAACAAGATCCACAGAGGACACAGAAGGACTTGGCTGCGGGATGGTGGCTTACGTCTTACTCAGAGCTTACACTTATGCATGCCAAATGTAATGCCATGAAAACCAGTATTTCAAATAACTTAAAAAATGCTTAACTACTAAAATGTAAAAACTTAATGTGCTCACCTCAGCAACACATACGCTAAAAGTTAATAAAATCCAGTTTGAAAATTGAGCCTGATAACAAAATTACAAATTCACAATACCTAATTCTTAGGGAAATAAAAAAAAATTAAGCATGAATGTATTCTGGAACACATTAGAAGAAAAAGACAATGGGTTTTTTTTTTTTTTTAATTCTCCTTTCTCACCAACGGGGAACATCCCATAATTGAAAGAAATTTGATTGAACGGTGTAAGAAACATTAAAATGCATTACTAAGAGAAGTAATATAATCTTCTTACAAGGTATTTTTCCCAAAGATAGCTTTACTATTTCAAAAATTGTCAAATTAATGTATGCTTCTTGCAACAAAGAAATGTCAAAAAGTTGAGAAATTCTACTAGTCAGAGACAATCACTTTGAGAAACTTACTATATATCCTTCTAAATATTTTTCTGAGATGCTTATGTATATACATCAGTTGTTTCTCTCTTTTTTTAACCAAAAATGTGGTTTATTTTGTACACATTACTTAAACTTTCTTCACTTAATATATTGTGGATTTATTTTCACTGTTATATTTAACTATATATAAATATACTTATATATCATGATTTTAATGTCCACATAGCCCCACTGATAACCAAATCAGAGTTTATTTAAATAATTTTAATGACTTCTATAAACAATTTATTGATACAAAAAGCAAGCATGAGATGACAATGTTTCGTCCAGTAATTAAAAAAACATTGCCTCACTATCTTCTCACTTTGTTTCTGATGAAACATCTACTGTAATACTTGACTTTCTCCTTATGTGTGATATACATTATTTTTCTGACTAAGATATTTCTTATTACTGGTTCTAATTTGATTATAATGTGCCAAGGTATGGTTATTTTATAAGTGTCTTGTGTTTAAAATTTGTTGAGCTTCTTAGATCTATGTATTTGTAGTTTTCATCAAATTTCAGGGGAAATGACCAATATTTTTTTTCTGTGACCCTTCTCATTTTCAAGTTTTTCCCTTATTTGCAAATGGTCCAACATTTTACTTATTTATTTTATTTCACTCTTTTTTGTATTTCATTTTGGATAGTTTTTCTTGCTATGTCTTCAAGTCTATGAAACTTTTCTTCTAAATCATGTAATCTGCCATAATCCTAGACAGGACCTTTTAATCTCACATAACTTAGTTTTTATTTCTATAAATTTAGTGTGGGTCTTTTGTCCTCCATCTTTCATATCTATCTAACATACTTAATCTCTCCTCTAACTTCTTGAATAGATGAATACAATGGTAACTGTTTTAATGCTTTTTAAAATGTACTAATTCTATCATCTGTCACTGAGTTTCAACTGATTTTTCTCATTGTGGGTTATATTTTTCTGCCTCTTTAAATGCCTTATGATTTTTGATTGGGCAGAAAACACTGTAAATTTTCCTTTGATTGGCCATGCATATCTTGGTATTCCTATAAATGTTTTTGAGCTATGTTTTTAGCTAGTTACATAGCTAACTGAAAACCATCAAGTTACTTGAACACAATTTGATCATTTAGAATCTTGCTTTTAAATTTTGTTAGAGTAAGCCAGAGCAGCTTATAAACTAAGTTAAATTTAGTTTATTACTGAGGAAAGTCCCTCGTCAGTACTTAGTACCACTGTTCATGAATTATGAGGTTTCCCACTTCAGCTGTTGAAAACAGACACTATTCCCTGTCATGTCTGAGTCATCAGCCACTGTTTTCTTTATTCTTTTCAGGTGGATTTTCCCCCAAGTTTGGGTAATTTTCTCACTTGCATGCACTAATCGGTATTTAACTGAACACTTGAGGGCAATTCTTCAAGTACCTCCAGAGTTTTCTCTACATGCACCTCTCTTCTCTCCAGTACTCTGCCTGTTTGACTTCTCTTGACCTGGAGCTCCATCTCCTCAGCTCAAGAGATGGGTGGACTTTTATGTAGGTTTCCTCTACCTGCTCCAAGGCCTGAAACTTTCCTCCGGGCAGTAAGATAGGGTGATACACGGGTTCACCTCATTTGTTCCCCATCTTTCAGAGACCCTTGTCCTGCATTGCCTGAAACAGTATGTCAGGTGCCATTGTTTCATCTACTTTGTCAGGATTTTAATTGATTCAGCCAACAGAATATGTTCAGGTAGGAGGGTAAATCTAAGATGTTATTCTATCTTGGCCAGAAGCAGAAATCCAAGGCATTCTTACCCCTTTACTGTAATTCTATAGTATATTTTTAGTGTAATTTAGTATAATTCCATAACCTAACCAGTACTATTTGAGATGTTCATAAGCTATGAATTACTGATTATCATGTAATTATTAGGGACTATATATACATCTCCTGGGGCAGTTCTCAGGACTTATGTTCCAGAAGGAATATAGGATGAATATCGCTCAGTAAAAGTATTTGAACCAGAAGTGTTTCTGATTTTTAAATTTTTGTATATTCATATGTAGTGATGTATCTGAGGGATGGGACTTAAGTCTAAACAGAAAATTCATTTATGTTTATATACACATAGCTTGATGGTCATTTTATGTAATATTTGTAAGTAATTTTGTGTATTCATCACATAATGTCAGATGTGGAATTTTCCATTTCTGAAATCATGGCACTCAAAAAGTTTTCCATTTTGGAACATTTTGAAATTTGGATTTTCAGTTTATGGATCCTCAGCCTGTATCACAATAAGCCTTAACATTTCAACTGAAAAAAAAAAAATGTGTACAGAGGAAAAGGAAAAGAGAATTTATGACTAGAAAACAGATGAATTCCAAGTCCTGAAATTTTCACTGACAATGTTTTAAAGTTTCAAAAAGTTGAACTCAAAATCTCAAGAATAGAAGAGGATAACTCATTTCCTTCTGGTATTAAATGGCTTATTTCTGGCAGAGCAAAGTGTGGGTGATTAGTTTAGACATATGCTTTAAATCTTTCTCTGAGGTTTTGTCATTTGATTAACGGAACAGACAATTTTTATTACCACAGAAAAACAGCACACTGACAGGAACAGGATAGAATGTAAATTCAACAGAGGTACACTTCTAGATGCTGTCTGCCATTCCTTTAACCTCTTCTGAGGGGCTCTTTGGCACTCACTCACAGCTTCTACTGCCCAGAAGTCATGGCTGACTGTATCAAGGGTGGGTACCTGAATCAAGACAGTAGATTCTCTTTTTGAGTTTCAGTACAACTTTATTTACAAAAACAATCAGTCCAGATGTAGCCTAGAGGCCATAGTTGGCTAAGATCACTTGTTTCACTAGTGGCTTGCAAAATAATATTCTAGTCCTGTTATTCCTACTTCCTGTATTGGTTGGAATATATTATAAGAAGAAGACAGTAGATTCATCTTTGAACCAATCTAGATACAAGAGACTGGCTAGTGATCAGAACCAAGAAAAATGCTATAGAAAGAACTGGAGCTTTGAAAAGCAGGATACAAATACAAGGGAGAAGAAACTAAGAGTAAGATGGCAGAGACTGGAGTTCAAAGCTCCATAACTAATCAGTCTAATCACATAATCATGACAATGACAAGTTATATTATTGAGAACTTACTAAATTTAAGACACTGTGACAAGTGCTTACCTGCATACTTAATCACACAACACCCTAAAAGATAAATGCTATTAAGTCCTAATCTTAAAGATGAAGAAATCAAGACTAATAAAAAGTAACTCGCCTGATGTCACACAAACCATAGGTTCAGGAGCTGAATATAGGTAGTCTAAGTCTAGAATTTACTCTGTAGAATAGCTGATTTCTAGAGTTAGGTTTAAGCACTCTTGGGCCCTATTTCTTAATTATCTCTGTCTCCTATCTATTTAATAATAGTAATCTCTCTATTTTAAGTGCTGTGCCTGCATTTCTGTTATTTCAAATCAAAAGAGACTAACTAAAAGAAATTGAAAACAATTCTTAAAAATGACAATTTGTGGCAGCTTGTACACACTAACAGCCCTTCTAATTTAGGAAAAATCCAACAATAAGTCCACTTAAATGACAGTCTGTTGCTTTCAATAAACACTAAGACTTAAGGTTACCGTAATATTTTCACATTACAGTGTTTTTACAGGAAAGTATTTTATTAACGCCACTTGCTTTCATATGACTTAGCTTTTCTTTACCAGTTTTGTATCTAAAAAAGAGGTTATCCCTGCAGTGACCTCATGTTCAGTCCCATAAAAGACAAAACCCAAAACTAACTTACAAACAACAACATAAATCCCAATATTGAAGCTAAAACCTAATTTTGTGCCGAGTTTTGTCTAATTTTGTCTGTGGAAGATGAAAGTTATCTCATTTAGAATCAGGGAAACATTTGTTATTTAGACCAAAATGGAAGAGAATGGAAAAAGAATCTCAACAGTGTTCTCGGCCACCTCTGATGTAATGGACAAGTCTTTTAAGATGTCAGTATCCATCATAACACTTGAGAGTTAAGTAGCTATTTTTCTTCCATCTGCATTAAGAATATAGTTGGTAGATTAAAAAAATGGGGTCACATGAGGAATAATTTTTTAAAGTACCATCAACATTTAAATTTAAAATGTATAAACATTTGTTCATTAACTTTTGATACAGGGTCTATGATTGAAGTTCCATGTCATTTTTCTTGTATAAACATTGCCCATAAAAAGCTGTCTACAGTCCCAGTTTTAGTTTTGTTTTTAAGTGAAATGAGAACTTTAAACATTTCTAATAAAATCTAACTGCAGCATTCCTTTTCTTCCAAGGCTTAAACAGTTATTTCACCATTACCTAAATTGTCAGCAATGTTTTTTTTAGCAATTCTGTTTATTGATTCTTTGGAATCAGTGAACTTAATTATCATAGAAGTTCCCTCCACACGCATATTTCATTAGGACATATA